TAACTTGGATGTCCAAAACCCAATCTTCAGGAATATAAAGGAGAGTCAGGGGAAGCTCCCCTGCAAATCTGGTGCCCTAAAGTGATTTTAAAGTTAAAAATGAATTGACAAATTGATTCATCAATTTGTCAGGAAAAAAAAATCATAATTCATGATTTGTTGAACTGGATGAATCATGAATCAAAACAAATCACAATTTTTCTGATTCATGCCCATTTCTAGCTGACAACTCAGGTCTTTGTATGGCTGTTTAGAAGGAAGCCTCATTGTGTTCAGTGGAACAAACTCCATAGTATGTCTCTGTTAAGACTACAGCCAAGTGTTCTTTTTTGTTTTTTGAAACTGAATAGCAATGGCCCATCAGAGATCTAGGAGTCTGGTCCACTGTGGAGAAGCCTTCTTCAATGAAGTGCCCTCCAAAATGGGCTGCAGTGCAACTCTCAATATAACCAGCCAGCATGAGCACCAAGTGAGTAAAGGCTACTTTAGGCAAAGGATATGGCATACTGCACCTTTGTACATTCACAACACAGTATGTCACTGAAGACATGCTTTGGTCCTAGATGACTGTCATGTTATTATTTACTATTCATATATAGACAGCAAACAATAGTTGACAATCCAATGCTTAATGTAGTAAGCCAAAAATACAGCAGGCCCATTGAATTATTTTAAAGAGAAAGGCGGGGTTAAAATATTTTAAATAAATAAATAATAAAATCAATGAGGGTTTAGTGAATCTGCAAGTTCCATTGATTCAAATGGACCTACTCTAACTATCACTTCTTATGTCATAGGAGCCTCATGGTGCAGTGGTATAACTGTACTACTGCAGCAAAGACTGCTCACAACCTGAATTTGATCTAGCCGCAGGTAGCCAGCTCAAGGCTGAATCAACCCTCCATCCATCCGAGGTCAGTAAACTGAGTGCCCTTCTTATTGGGGGTGGGGACAGCAATATGTAATCTACATAATTAAAGTTGTAAACCACCCAGAGAGTCCTTTAAGCCTATGGGATGGTATATAAGCAACACACACTTTGCTTTTTTACCTTTGCTATGCTAAAGTAAATCACAGTTAGACTTAGCCCATTTGAATCAATGGAACTTATGGAGATGTTGACTCACTAAACATCATTGATTTAATGGGTCTTTTCTAGTGCAATTTGCTACACTAAGCAATAGGATTTTGGTCTCAGTTACAATAACTGCATCACATCAACAAAATCTTTTTAAAACAAATGTTCCGGCAGAGATTCACATATATGCTTGGCTCTGCTCACCAAAAGTGGTTCATCAAACCACAGAATTCCATGGCTTCTCTATAATGATCATACCATTCATGATAGGAGTCTCCTACAACATGGCAGAATTTCTCTGTCTTGTCTGTAGGTGGGATTTCTCCTCATTACAAGTGTTTCATCAGACAAACACTTAAGGCTGTACCACTCCTCTGTCTATGCAAATGATAACCAATCTCTGCAGGACTAACAGGCCTTATGCTCTCTAAGATACTGAATTACAGTTTCCACTAGCAGTTTGGATGCTGCTAAGGTAATCAAATGTGAAGACAAACTCAATGTACAGAGATAAGCTGAATATACTCAGAAACAAAATTTTGAAGTCAATCAATTTATTGTATGTACTCTGCTTTTGTATCAGTAGGACACACAAACTGACATCACAACATAAGAAAACAGAAAGACAAATCAAGATGGCAGACACAAATGCATTATGAATTCTACTTTAAATAATTATGAACATTTTTTCCAAAGCCAACCTTTTATATAAATGTTTCATGGATAATAGATTTACTTACTTTACAGTAATTATATATTATTCAGTACCAACATTTATTGTTTGACATCATTATTCTTTCCTAAATATTTCTGCAACTTTTTGCTTCTATGGTTCACGCAGGATAGTTTTTGTCTTTTACATGAGAACTCACATTTCAATGGATTTCTTTATATGTAAAGGCAATTAAAAAATTTTTCCCTAAGAACTCTGGGAAACATGTATGTTGAAAACCAGCACTGTTCTTCTCCCTACCTCTCTCCAAATCATCCAGGAATATGTGCCATTAAAAGATCTCTCACACAAAGCAGTGACTCTTACCAATGTGCATACACATAAACACACACACAAAAAGAATTGAATCTACTTCTGATAATATCTCACCCGTGCAGTGGCAAAATCTGCTGATACCATGCCTCCTTCAAGAGGTCAGCAAAATGAAGATTTACTTAATGTATTTACAGTTATCAATAGCAATAAAAGGTAACAACCAATATGCTGACAATGAATATAAGCATTTTAACAGCAGTGTGATGGAAAGAGAGAAGGCATTTCAAAGTTAACATTTTGACAATAAGATGAGTAATGGTGGCAGGCTATGCATGTGTGTGTGTGTGCGTATGTGCATGTGTGAGATGGAGGAGGGAGGGAGGGAGAGAAAGCCCAAAAACGTTCAAACTACTCTGTTTCCCCGAAAATAAGACCTAACCTGAAAATAAGCCCTAGTATGATTTTTAGGATGCTCGTAATATAAGCCCTACGCCCAAAATAAGCCCCAGTTAAGAAACACTCCGCCCTCCACCATTGTGTAGCAACCAGAAGAAGATGACATGACTGTATTTGAATAAACATAGGTTGTTGCCCATGAAAAAAATAAAACATCCCCTGAAAATAAGTCCTGATGTGCTTTTTGGAGCAAAAATTAATATAAGGCCCTGTCTTATTACAATGCTTGCACCACAAATTAAGTTTTGAGCAGTATATTCACAGAAAAAATTCTTGCAAATCAAAAATCAAGATAGGAAACATTGGTTCCAGTCTTTCAACCTTTTTATCAGGCTAAGCATTAAGAGAACTATCTCCATTCAATCCAAGTTCTATTATCTGTTACACAAAACTCAACAGCAGACTTTTCACTTCAGGGGCGTTATACAAATATTGTTTTTTGCTGTTGCTGTTTGGTAATAGACCCCACAGCTATGTTACATTTTAGAGACAGTTCTATCTCTACAAGCTTTATGAAACCCAGTGTTCAAGCCTATCAGGCACAGTATGCCAAGAACCCCAATAACCAAAGAACAAATTCATTAAAACCAGCACAGAATTTTAAAAATGTTTCCGATTCCTACATGCATGGGGAACTACAGTGGTGCCTCGACTTACGAACTTAATTGGTCCTGGAACTCTGGTCGTAACTCAAAATGGTCGTAAGTCGAAGCACCATTTCCCATGGGAATGCATTGAAACCAGTCAACGGAAAAAATCATCAAAAAAACAAAACACTGCAAGACCCATTGGAAATGTGATTAATCCGTTCAGGCCAAAGGTAGAAAAAAAAAAAGAAAAGCAAACAAACCATGCAAGACACTTCAGAAATTAAAAAAAAGCAAAGCAAAAAGCAAACAAATGGTGCAAGACCCATCGGAAATGTGATTAACCCATTCTGGCTAAGGGGGAGGAGGGAAAAGCAAACAAACCGTGCAAGACCCTTCAGAAATGCAAAAAAAAGCAAAGCATAAAGCAAACAAACCATGCAAGACCCTTCGGAAATACAAAAAAAAAAAAGCAAAGCAAGAAGCAAACAAACCCTGCAAGACCCATCGGAAATTGGGGGGGTGACAAAAAGCAAACAGACCCTGCAATACCCATTGGAAATGGCGGGAAAAAAACCCAAAAGCAAACAGACCTTGCAAGACCCAGCAAAAATGGGGGAAAAACAAACCAAAAAACAAACAAACTCTGCAAGACCCATCGGAAATGGAAAAACAAACCAACCCTGCAAGATTCATTACAGCATAGAAACATAATCCCACAACCCAACCCAAAACCACACTGCAAAACCCACCCAGAACAGTTTTTAAAAAGTAGAAAGCAGCACCTTACCAAGCAGTCCGAAGCCTCCTCCGATTGCACACTCTCTAACTGCTCAGACGAAAGAGGTACAAAGAAGCAGCCTCTTCGCCACCAACGGTTAGCAATTTGAATTCTCTGCCTTTTTTCCCTGCCCTTTTCTGGTTGTAACTCAAAGCTTCAGTTGCAAGTAGAAGTAAAAGTTTGCAGCCAGAGCTGATCGTAACTCAAAATGGTCGTATGCCGGGACATTCATAAGTCGAGGCACCACTGTATGTTTCAATGCCCAAACAACCTTCACATCTAG